AGACATCACATACCAACATCGTAGTGACATCATGTACCAACATCGTAGTGACATCACATACCAACATCGTAGTGACATCACATATATCATATACCAGTGTCATTAAACAGGAGCTGATCACACCTCCCAGTCAACCAGTGCTCACTTTACATCACACTGTCAGCTACACTCTCTGTGACATCATCTTGTAGACAATCACCACTCCAGGGAACACCTTTCATAATTCAACAAATTCCTTCCTTCCTGGGACACCAACACACATCTGCTGAAAAATCGCTGATAATCAGTCGATAAGAAGTTTTTAACTTTCTATAGACACAAAACCAAGCCTGTTCTCCCTCAACAGGTCTCTGAAACCCACATGTCACCAGATGCATCCTCATCCCTCAATCGTCACTGAACGCAGACTTCAACCATGCATAAACCTTGGTCATTTCACAATGTCACCAAGTTTGTTCACAATAAGTTTGTTCCACCTTCCTGAACACAGTGCCAGGGAGTGTCCCTGCTAGCTGTCTAGGGCGTCTAGCACCTTCATGATCTGTTGTTTGATGACCCTGGTGGCGTCCCCCGCCTTGCTGATGATGAACCGGTCCATGTCCGTGATGTGGAAGCCCTCGTCCTCACTCGTCCCGTACTTGAATGTGATGAAGTCAGGATGTTTCTTCTTGGATGTTATTTTGACGACGCTGCCCAGAGCACGGCGAGCTTGGATGTAGGCCATACCCTTCTTCTTGGGGATGTCTCGGAGAACGTAGAGGTGGGATGACGTTACCAGTAGGTAGCTGTAACAACAAGGGAAATGTTACACTTACATCCTGGAGGTGACGTGAAGTGAAATTGGGTTTAATGTCGTACTTGAGAATATTTCGCTCATATGACGACGTGCGTGTGTATGTGTATGTGCGGCTGCTTGTACTAGCCCAGACTGAAGCTGGTTTTATAGTGCTAGCGCAGTGTGATACCATGCCGCAGTGAAGCATGAATACCCCACTCTTACATCCTGGAATGTAATATAGTCAATATAAACCAAACTTGAGGGAACATAACACTGTACTGACATCACAAACAGATATCCCATACCATCAATGAAGTGACACATCAATATTATACTGATATGATACACCAACATTGTAGTGATGTGATATGCCAACTTCATAGTGACATCACATACCAACCACTTAACGTGATATACTAGCATTGCAGTGACATGACAGCCATGGCTTTTAATGGTTACCTGGAATACATGTATCCATTGCCCTGCACCTCCTGGCACTGACAGCTGTAGACCACGTCGGGCTTCTGTAGCCAGGTGTCCAGGCTCACCACTTCCTTCGGCTCATCGTCGGACACAGGCAGCATCATGTTGTCTTCTCCTGCAATATCAACAACTCAGTAGAGTGAGTGAGTGACTGACTAAGTTTGGTTTTACGCCGCTTTTAGCAATATTCCAGCAACATCATGGCGGGGGACACCAGAAATGGGCTTCACACATTGTACCCATGTGGGGATTCGAACCCGGGTCTTCGGCGTGACGAGCCAATGCTTTAACCACTAGGCTACCCCACCGCCCCAGTAGAGTGAGTATGATTTTAGCAATATTCCAGCAATATCACCGTAGGGGACACCGGAAATGGGCTTCACACATTATACCCATATGGGGAATTAACCTCGGGTCTTCAGCGTGACTTTTGTCGCCTTAACCACTAGGGTATCCCACCGTCTAAGAACTCAGTAGAACAACAGCAGAAAAACACACAGAGGTACTGTCAATCAAAGACCTACAGTTCAGCAATGTCCTCTTAACCCAAACCCTGACCCACATGACTCTCAAGCATCCAATTTAATCTTCTTCATTCTCCATTCGTTTTCCCACCTGAACCACCCTAGAATGCAGACTCCCATACCCCATGATTATACCCTGCCCGACCCTAGATCCATACTTCCCATATCCAAGATTCCAATCTTCTTTATTCCATCCTGCTACATCCCAATTCCAATCTACTCCAGCCCTTACTTCCACAGCTTGCTCCCTCCCCAGCCCTAGGCTGCACTCTTCCACACCCCAAGATGTCACTTGCCTGACCCTAGTTTCACACTTCTAACAACCCGATCCCCCACCCCCTCCTCTTGATCAAACATTCCTTAAACTCACTTCCAAAATTCTCCAGCACCCAGATTCCCATCAACCCTAACCTGGATTCCAGCCACCCCTGCCCCAAATTGCCCCTCCCCTACCCCAGGTTCCCCCTTACCCTCCACTGCCCGCCTCTTACCTTCATCATCATCCCCGATCGTGAAGACATTGGCCATGTTCCTGTATCGCTTGCCCAGTCTGTCTGTGTTGCTCACATGCCTGTTAAAATAAATAGGAGACCATGGTCACTGATCAGTGTTACTTCATGGCAACTAGATTTACCATATTAACTTTACAGCGTTGTATTGGCTCTCCAATGGTACATGGCTTTGTTGATGTAGCTGGCCAGATTTACCATATTTACAGTGTTAACCCTACCTTTCTACAGGGGCCTGGTCATTCTTGATATAGTTGGCCAGTTTCTCCTTCATTTCCACAGATTTGCTTTTGACCACTGTCGACAGCTTCCCAAACAGATCCCGTGTCAACTGTAACAAGGGAGATAACTCCTGCAGCTGTGGCTACATGCTCCATCTATTTCCCATGTATAGCTACTTCTATGTTTACTGTATATATTACTGTATTTAATAGTCATACAACTTCCGTCTAGGGCCAGGTTCAGAATGCAATCTTAAAGCTGCAACTTCTGTTAATTTATGTTAAAGTATGTAAACTACAACACTCACAGAGCCTGTTTCACCTAACGATCTAACTGCTAAGACAGACTAAAACAGACTTCATCTGCTCTTAGAAATAAGCCCTGTTGAAATCTACAGAATTGTTACTATGTGCAGTTTGAATAATTGGCAATGTTATTGCTTCTGAGGCAAAAGTATATATTCCAATGCTCCAATACCTGGGTGACACCCCCCTCAGCCCTCCCATCAACACCCCACTGACAGACACATACTGTTTTACTGTTGGCGAACTCATCACCGTTTTCAGCATCACTGGCACTGCTTGGGGTGCCAGGGGTACATGCAATACAGGTCCGACTGTTGTGATTCACAAGTCCCTCTCCCAGGTTATCTCGCAGCAGCTGGTGCAGTGCTGTAACCATAGTAACAGTTACCATAGAGATAATTGATGAAATTACAGGGTGTGTCACACTTAGAAACAGTGTTAGAAAGGCAGGTATATAGACCCTACCCTAGTACTATATAAAAAGAAAGGGATGTAACGTAGGAACCACCCCCTCCTCAATCAAAGTTAGATTTCACCACGTAAACTAATCTTAAGGCCCCGTCGAGACTTACGGATCAAAAGCGAGATGATTTCCCTACAAAATGAGCTATAAATGGTCACAATCGGATCATTAGTTCAAAAGTTATACGCCACGACTCACCGAAAACAGCTACCTCCGCATGTCCATCCCTTTCCTTTTTATATAGTACTAGGGTAGGGTCTATGTACCTATATGTCTTTCTAACGCTGTTTCTAAGTGTGACACGCCCCTGTGATTACAGATACATACAAATTATTGCTGTTCCTCAGAAATCTACTCCAAAAGTCAAATACAGGACCTCTTTTATATATACTGTTCAAGATTTATATGGACATTACAATAGGGACTCAAACTTCTCATGTTGGTTGGCTTACTTATTAATCTGCCCTCAGAAATATTACAGCAGCTATACAACAGCAATTCATAAAGAACCAAGTTTGAGTAAAACAATCTGTCATGAGCACTTTCAGATTATGACGACATATGGTCAACCAAGTAACTAAGCCTCCTGTCGACAAGAAATAGGTTGCTAGGGAGCAATTCTAAACCTGAATCCCCACACAGCCCAGTGATGGACACAAATTTGTTTCATTGTTATGAATAATGCAGATTATCATCTCTGTTTTGTAACGCGTGATCAAAGGGAGATAACTGTGCAGCCACCTACCAGCATAGCCTCCCCTTGCCATGCTGACATACTGCTGACTCTTCTGTAGGAAGTTGGCGACCACCATGTTGACGAACTGATCCTCCTCCTCACGCCCGCTGCCTAGGAAACACAGGTGCTCCCCTGCTGCCACTGAACCTAGTGGACATAAACCTAATGTAAGGATAACCATATTGTTGGTATATCAATCCTAAAACCGTATACAGCTAATTAGTAGCAAGGCCTAAAAGTTTAAAGGATATAACGCCGTATAGGGTACCCAGGCGCTCTCACAACCGTCCTCAAGGGCGAAGAAGGAGAGAGTGAGGGGCATATCTGATCATGTGACGCATTTTCCCGCCAAAAGAGTCACAAGGGAGATAACACTGGGTGAGTGATTTTACGTCCGCTTTTTTTAAGGGGGCTTCAAAGGGGGATTCAAGTGTTCCACTATCATTCGCAAGAAGAAAGAGACAAGCAATTAAGCATGAGTCAGGATAAGGAAAAATAACCTAATCTAAGGATATTACATCTCCATACTGGAGTTGTCTCCTGGTGATGTGACAAAGCACATACTGAAGGACAACATGGTGACAATACAATCCCGGTCCAGGTGACCTCAGTATAATATATAACCTGGACTAACAAGGTTAGGGGTCATGATATGAAAATCTTTGAAGGGCATTGAGAAATAATACACATAAGGGGGCCAAGCGTGTGGACATCAGCTTGTGTGGTGGTGGTGGTGGATTTGGGTTTAACCTCGTGCTTGAGAATATTTCGCTCATATGACGACGTGCATGCGTGTGTATGTGTATGTGCTGCTGCTTGTACTAGCCCAGACTGAAGCTGGTTTTAAGAGTGCTAGCTCACTGAGATACCATGCCGCAGTGAAGCATGAATACCCCACTCAGACACATTATACTGACTCTGAGCTGACCAGACCTTGTTGTACCCATAAATGCCGAGCGCCAGGGAGGGACCAACAAGTACCATATTTTAACGTATTTTGGTATGACGCGGCCGGGGATCGAACCCGCAACCTTCCACCCCCGGGGGGACGCTATAACCACTACACCACGGAGGCGGTCCCATCAGCTTGTGTATAATGTGGAACACAAAGTTCTGGAGTACATTCTTGATCCTTCATCAAGTGAACCATTCAGAACTTATTCTTACTCCTTCATCAGGTTCCTCATAATGCAGTTGACATCCTGAAATTTTGCCGCTTTATATTGTATACTCTTGCAGATATTTGTCATGAAACTGTGTGTCAGTCTACACTAGATATAGATATGATCTATAATAGTCATGATCCCTAACTTATCTTGTTCAGTATGTCATGGTGACATATCAGCATACATGGTGACAATATGTCACAGTGACAATATCAAGTATACATCATTCAAAGAGAACACCAGCTGGCTAGTGACGGTGGCTGGGAGTCCAGCAGTGTGCAGACAGGGTGCAGTGTCTCCAGCTGGGTAGATAAATAACTCAGACACTCAGACATATCACAGTAACATGTGTCACTGTGACATTATGTATACAAGACCTACATTCCCTGATTGCTGGTTACTGATTAAAAATGGAGGTCAAGCGGTGCCCTTGGAATGTTTACAACAGCTATTCGCACCTTTATCACAAGTTATCCATCTTTATGTAAACAAACATCGAGGGTACATCAGCCCATGTCCCCCTCGAGACCAGTGAACAACTTATACTGGACACCCTAGGGTGGGTCGGCTGTGGTGAGATGTGACAGTACAAGATTACCTGTGGCAAGTGCCGAGCTTCGTGTGGCAAATAACGCATGAACCGCTGTGCTGAATTCCACTGGGTTCTGCAACATCTGTGGACACAGAACACTTCATACACTTCAAAGAACGTGGATGTCCTGATAGTATGATATGTTTGTTTGTTTGTTTTGTTTGTTTGTTTGTTTTGTTTGTTTGTTTGTTCAATGCTGCACTCAGCAATATTCCAGCTAAAGGGCGGTCGTCTATAAATATCTGAGTCTGGACCAGACAAGCCAGTGATCAACAGATGAGCATTGATCTACACAATTGGCATTTGCCAGTAGGAATACATGAATATACTTTCCTTGGAGTTAGCGGATAAATGTTACCTAAATACTTAAGTCTGGGATAGGCAAACCAGTGGTTGACAGTGTGAGCACAATGGCTACATAAAGCCATGCTACACACACAACCTGATTGTCATCAGGCAACTCCTACAACATAGTGAGTGAGTTTAGTTTTATGCCACTTTTAGCAATATTCCAGCAATATCATGGCAGGGGACACCAGAAATGGGCTTCAAACATTGTACTAATGTGTGGAATCGAACCCGGGTCTTCGGCATGACGAGCGAACGCTTTAACCACTAGGCTACCCACTGCCCCCTTACAACATACATGTGATGCTGGGGGTCCATGTGCCCCGAGATCCCCACAACAACAGCCATCTATTCTAGAATCACAACACGCTTGATCAACAGTGAAGTAAGGATATACAACCCACCAGGTTGGCATCGAGGTGGAAGGCTGTGGGAAGATGTCCACTGTTATACTGGTCTGCTGGCCGGCAGTCAACGATAAAGTATCGAACACCATCCTCCTGTAACATAGCATCATGTCACTATGACAACATCAAATAGGCATAATTTTCTCACTTTTATCACATACTGCGGTGGGGGACACCAGAATTGGGCTTCACACATAGTACCCATGTGGGGAAGTGAACCTGGGTCTTAGGCCAGTGCTTTAACCACTGGGCTACCCCACCACCCCAATAATATACTACAACTGCCAGGTGTACATCAAACTCATCACTGACAGGTGTACTATATGGACTCTCCACTGACAGGTGTACTACAAGGACTCACCACTGACAAGTGTACTACAAAGACTCACCACCGACAGGTGTACTACAAGGACTCACCACTGACAAGTGTACTACAAAGACTCACCACCGACAGGTGTACTACAAGGACTCACCACTGACAAGTGTACTACAAGGACTCACCACCGACAGGTGTACTACAAGGACTCACCACTGACAAGTGTACTACAAGGACTCACCACTGACCGGTGTACTATATGGACTCACCACTGACAGGTGTACTACAAGGACTCACCACTGACAGGTGTACTAAATGGACTCTCCACTGACAGGTGTACTACAAGGACTCACCACTGACAGGTGTACTACAAGGACTCACCACTGACAAGTGTACTACAAAGACTCACCACTGACAGGTGTACTACAAGGACTCACCACCGACAGGTGTACTACAAGGACTCACCAACGACAGGTTGCTACAAGGACTCACCACTGACAGGTGTACTGTATGGACTCACCACTGACAAGTGTACTACAAGGACTCACCACTGACAGGTGTACTACAAGGACTCACCACTGACAAGTGTACAAGGATTCACCACTGACAGGTGTACTGTATGGACTCACCACTGACAGGTGTACTACAAGGACTCACCACTGACAGGTGTACTACAAGGACTCACCAACGACAGGTTGCTACAAGGACTCACCACTGACAGGTGTACTGTATGGACTCACCACTGACAGGTGTACTACAAGGATTCACCAACGACAGGTTGCTACAAGGACTCACTACTGACAGGTGTACTACAAGGATTCACCACCGACAGGTGTACTATATGGACTCACCACTGACAGGTGTACTACAAGGACTCACCACTCACAGGTGTACTAAAAAGACTCACCACCAACAGGTGTACTATATGGACTCACCACTAACAGGTGGACTCACCACTAACAGATGTACTACAAGGACTCACCACTACCAGATATGCATCACCAATAACAGGTGAACTGAACTAAAAGGACTCACCACTAACAGGTGAACTACAAGGACTCACCACTGACAGGTGTACTACAAGGACTCACCACCGACAGGTGTACTATATGGACTCACCACTAGCAGGTGCACTACAAGGACTCACCACCAACAGGTGTACTATATGGACTCACCACTAACAGGTGCACTACAAGGACTCACCACTAACAGGTGCACTACAAGGACTCACCACTGACAGGTGTACTATATGGACTCACCACCGACAGTCATACTACAAGGACTCACCACTTACAGGTGCACTACAAGGACTCACCACTGACAGGTGTACTACAAGGACTCACCGCTGCAAGTTCACTAGCTTGTAAAAGTTCCACGACGGACACTGGGAGACACAGCGCCTGCCCCACTTGTTCCCCGACCCCCTCCTGCATCGGTGCCAGGGACGTCCCAAACAGCGGCATCTGGTAGTCCTACAACATTAAACATCACATTTCAACCAGTTCTTGCTCATAGAAACTGACCTGACCACAGTGTTTGTAGTTTAAAGCCACATGCAGCGCTATTCAAGCTTTATGACAGCGATCGGTATGTGGATGTGTCCTGAGTTGTCAATCTAAAGACTGCCACCCTTAGCATTGTTCTCTGCAATAGAGAGGATCATACTCCTCAAGTCATATTACGTAGAATTCAAGCCTGACACATTTGAACTTGTTAACCTGCAACAACTGCTTCTGATTTTAGGGCCACTTCACATTTCGTAAGAACAAGTTGCAAGCGATGAACCCTTTGAACGCAAACAAACATCGTCTGATCTCCTAGAATTCTCGGCTGGAGACAACAATGACCGTTGTTTAAAGTGACATTTAGCAGTGCTTAAACCATCTTAAAATTTGAACGGGGTTTATCCAATTCATTTGAAATAAGGGTTCATACACTAGACTTCAGTTTGCCAATTTATATAAATATTTAGTCACAAATCTGTATCAGGATAGCATGAACACATAATCAGTATCTTCTTCCCTGAACTTACCCTCCTGAATGACTGTGGTGTTTTTGTTTCATAGTACTGGGCCAGGGAGCAGAAGTCCTCAATGTCCTCTGCCTCCAGGCCTGATGGGAAGGACACTACTTTCTCTGAAAAAATAGTCTCTCAACTTAATATTTTCCCTTTCACCCAACCGTTTCTACAATGCAAAACCTCAAAATGAAAGATGTCTAGAATACCTCAGGTTCTGTCTCCAAGCTCACTGAGGCTTCTTTTCAGTTTAAATGGAGACATACAGGAATCATACAGAGAGTCAGATACCACACTGGCACACTAACATGATACATACCAGTGGTTGATAGTATGACCATCGTAGCTGGGCAAACACATATTCTGAACATGTTTGATAATAGTAAAGAAGCACAATAAGTGGTCCTGTTGCGGGCCTTCCACATTTCTACATTTGATGGTACGTACCTGCGATACTTTGTTTTGATTCCTCATCAGAAGATAGAATAATGTCCCTGAAAGTCAAAGTATGTAATTGATAAACACACATGGAAAATCATATATACACTATGTGGCGAATATGATACGTATCATGAATATTGGGTAACGAATACGAATAATTATTCACGAATACAATGTTGTAGTTAAGTGATTGATGTACAATATGGAACGCCCATGTTGACAGTTTTGATTTGTCACAGCAATAACCAGTGATCTCATGACAATCAAATTTGGAATGTAATAGTTATTATCGACAGTACCATGTGCAGTCTTGGCAAACTGACATGACTTGCACTACTGCAATGCTAGTACATGTTCCATTCTTGCATATCTCACTTTGGAAAGGACGTAAGTGTTCAAGTAAAACATGCTCCCTTAAAAAAGTCGTAAATATTCGCTAATATTCGGTTCTGGTGACCACGAATAACGAATTGAATTCATGAAGGGCTACAGTTCGATTCACCGAATATGCGAGTGAATCGTTGCAGCCTTAATTATTATAAAATATATGACGGTGTAATTCAATGTAAAACAACGCCATTACTGTATAACACTGTTTCTGTTTACATTAGACCTATCAGCATCATATGGAAATACCTGGAAGCTTTATAAGACTATATAAGGGGCAAGACTCCAACATCTCACATTACACCTGCAGTTGTGTGAAGATTACACTGCCACTGTAATTACTCTGTTGCAATTCATATTGATTTGCAATCCTAGTTACTTGTATATTTCTTTGTTGTCGTTTTCACAGATTCACATACAGATTTCTGGTTAAGTTATTGTTTCAACACATTACACCATAAAGTGGGTCAAACTGAACAAGACTGAAACAGTGTTATACAATGTTACAAGCACTGATGGTTCTAAGTGCTGATGGCGCTTTATTCCTTGGAATAAAAAATCACTCTGATCAGCTGATTGCATAGACACAAGTATGAATAGCATTTGGGTGAGTGAGTGAGTGAGTGAGTGAGTGAGTGAGTGAGTGAGTGAGTGAGTGAGTGAGTGAGTGAGTGAGTGAGTGAGTGAGTGAGTGAGTGAGTGAGTGAGTGAGTGAGTGAGTGAGTGAGTGAGTGAGTGAGTGAGTGAGTGAGTGAGTGAGTGAGTGCAAACGTACCTGGCGTTGACCAGGATGACGAGAGCCAGGAAGAACACCAGGAATGGGTCAGCATGCTGGAAGTATACATCCCACATCTTCAAGGTCACCGGGAGGTCACAGGTAGCACTTAGCAGACACCTAAACTGAAACACACAAACATCCTGTTTGATATTTAAATACTTCCTTTATGACTGCCAATGACCCACTTGTCCCATACATACAGTGATACCGCTTCATATGAACATCAGTGGCTAAGCACGATTTGAAGGGGATAATTATTATGTAACAAGATTGACAAGAGTAGAAATCAGCGATATGGTGAGGTATAAAGCATGATGTCATGTGGATATCAGCCATCTAAGATGATATCAGCGATATGGTGCAGTATAAAGCATGATGTCATGTGGATATCAGCCATCTAAGATGATATCAGCGATATGGTGCAGTATAAAGCATGTCATGTGGATATCAGCCATCTAAGATGATATCAGCGATATGGTGCAGTATAAAGCATGATGTCATGTGGATATCAGCCATCTAAGATGATATCAGCGATATGGTGCAGTATAAAGCATGATGTCATGTGGATATCAGCCATCTAAGATGATATCAGCGATATGGTGCAGTATAAAGCATGTCATGTGGATATCAGCCATCTAAGATGATATCAGCGATATGGTGCAGTATAAAGCATGATGTCATGTGGATATCAGCCATCTAAGATGATATCAGCGATATGGTGCAGTATAAAGCATGTCATGTGGATATCAGCCATCTAAGATGATATCAGCGATATGGTGCAGTATAAAGCATGATGTCATGTGGATATCAGCCATCTAAGATGATATCAGCGATATGGTGCAGTATAAAGCATGATGTCATGTGGATATCAGCCATCTAAGATGATATCAGCGATATGGTGCAGTATAAAGCATGATGTCATGTGGATATCAGCCATCTAAGATGATAATAGCGATATGGTGCAGTATAAAGCATGTCATGTGGATATCAGCCATCTAAGATGATATCAGCGATATGGTGAGGTATAAAGCATGATGTCATGTGGATATCAGCCATCTAAGATGATATCAGCGATATGGTGCAGTATAAAGCATGATGTCATGTGGATATCAGCCATCTAAGATGATATCAGCGATATGGTGCAGTATAAAGCATGTCATGTGGATATCAGCCATCTAAGATGATATCAGCGATATGGTGCAGTATAAAGCATGATGTCATGTGGATATCAGCCATCTAAGATGATATCAGCGATATGGTGCAGTATAAAGAATGTCATGGGGATATCAGCCATCTAAGATGATATCAGCGATATGGTGCAGTATAAAGAATGTCATGGGGATATCAGCCATCTAAGATGATATCAGCGATATGGTGCAGTATAAAGCATGTCATGTGGATATCAGCCATCTAAGATGATATCAGTGTTAGTGCTTGATAAGAATATACAATAAGTGATTTTGCAAGGTATGGCAAAATCAATGTTATAACAAGAGTGAGTGAGTGAGTTTAGTTTTACGCCGCTTTTAGCAGTATTCCAGCAATATCACGGCAGGGGACACCAGAAATGGGCTTCACACATTGTACCCATGTCATAACATGATTTGAAGGGAGTATCTGTTGGAGACATGATGTTCCTTACATGTTTGACACATGTATGTTTGACAGAAGTATGTTGGACAGAGGAATTTTTGACAGAGGTATGTTGGACAGAGGAATTTTGACATATGTATGTTGGACAGAGGTATGTTTGACAGAAGTATGTTGGACAGAGGTATGTTTGACACATGTATGTTTGACAGAAGTATGTTTGACAGAGGTATGTTTGACACATGTATGTTTGACAGAAGTATGTTTGACAGAGGTATGTTTGACACATGTATGTTTGACACATGTATGTTGGACAGAGGTATGTTTGGCAGAGATATGTTTAACACATGTATGTTTGACAGAGGTATGTTTGACACATGTATGTTGGACAGAGGTATGTTTGACAGAGTTATGTTTGACACATGTATGTTTGACATATGTATGTTGGACACATGTATGTTGGACAGAGGCATGTTTGACACATGTATGTTTGACAGAGGTATGTTTGACAGAGGTATGTTTGACACATGTATGTTGGACAGGTATGTTTGACAGAGATATGTTTAACACATGTATGTTTGACAGAGGTATGTTTGACACATGTATGTTTGACAGAGGTATGTTTGACACATGTATGTTTGACAGAGGTATGTTTGACACATGTATGTTGGACGGAGGTATATTTGACAGAGGTATGTTTGACACATGTATGTTGGACAGAGGTATGTTTGACACATGTACCAGTTTATGTCTGACACAAACATGACAGCAATTCTATCAGGCAGTATTTTATCCAACTATCTCACCCAGGGCATGGCAAATAGGTCGGCAGTGATCTTCTTGGTGTCAAGGAATGAGCACAGCTCTGGGTCGTGGTACTGCAGCAGGAGACGGAACAGATGGAACGCTCCACTGGTCTTCATGCAGTCCCTGGCGGCAACAACACAGAGTGAGTGAGTGAATTGGAATTGTGGCACATTAGATGATGCCTCCAGTTTTCACAAGATTGAGTGAGTTGGGTTTTACGCCGTTTTTAGCAATATTCCAACAATATCAAGGCTGAGGACACCAGAAATGGGCTTCACACATTGTACCCATGTGGGGAATCGAACCCGGGTCTTCGGAGTGACGCTTTAACCACTAGGCTACCCCGCCACACCAGTTTTCACAAGAAAGTAACCCGTGAGTGAAATTATTATGGTGGTGCTGCTGTTCTATACCTGGGTATATACTTGTTCTGTATGGCATAGAAGCAGTTGTAGAGTTCAGCCCGGGACAGTTTGAGGGCCAGTAGGGGTTGTATTGTCTCCAGCCAGCCATTGGATGCAGTGTACGTCTCTCCACGAGACTTGCAGTAGAATGTGATGATGGACTCTAGGTCCGACACGATCGAAACTTTGTCTTCCTCTTCATTGCCAAGTTTGTCTGGGAAGGAAATAAATCCTTTAAATATCCTTCCTCAACCAAAAATGACAAATATCATTATGAACCAAAGACCAATCACAACAGCCAAAAATGTCTGATAGATATAGAAATATGTTCAAGATATCTGAGAAAGAAGTAGATATTTAAGGCAAAGCAACGATTTGTTACAAAGAGCAATGTTCAACACCTTCATGTAAATCTGAGACTGATACTATTAATAACAAGATAATAACATCCACAGTTACAATAACAAATCCCCAGATCTGACCACCTAACTGAAGCTTGTCACTTGATACAACTCACCTACAAGAGCAGCGCAGTCCTCTCGGAGCTGAGCCTGTTCCTCCATGTCGTACAGACCGTTGAAGGCTGCCAGTGCGTCCCCCTTCCCCTGCACTCCCAGACAGATCTGAACACATACATCAACATACTCAACAAATACACACTACAAATGTCTTCCTCCATGTCGTACAGACCATTGAAGACCCCAAGTACAAAATGGCCTATCCCCCAGACATATTAACACCAAGAGATCTACTGAGAATAAGTTCGCAGATGGAAAATAATCCATCATTGATTCCCTGAAGGTCCTGACAATGAGTCATCCTTTTACAAACATCAGTTGCAAGTAACACTCAATCTACAATTCTGGGTCCCGTTCCTCAAAGCGATCGTAGCGCTACGACAGTCGTAAGTCTGTGTTAAACTATGGGAGTTACAATCATCTTAGCGCTACGATCGCTTTGAGGAACGGGGCCCAGATCAATTCAAAGTATTTTTGTGCCACACAAGGCTCACAATGAAAATTAGTTACATCCCTTTTCATTTTGTATGCACATAGAAGACAACAGCTTGCATGTAGTAAAACATGGCTTCCTTGACAATATCCCGGCATCACGGAGGACACAGCATGGAGGTAGTGGTGACCTACCTGCCATATCTCTCCCCGCAGGTGATCCGGAACGCTGCGGCCCTTGCAGATGTTCCTCAATGTACCAAAGTCGCACTCCTCCACAAGCGCTGTCTCTAGTTCCGTCATCCTGTAACCATGGCAACATATACAGTGGATTTATAAAACTAAACCATAGATGGGGTTTTATTGGGGGGAAAAATCACCCCAAGATTCTTGAAATAAATTATCACGATTTAATTTGTTGAAAACATTGTCTGGAACTACATTCTTACATGATGTATATATTATTTTGTCAAATACTTTGACTAAAAGGTTCAATTAAAAGAATATCGGGATCTGCAGCTTCCGTCGACAAATATTTTACACTTATTTAACAAGTCATGGATAAGACAACTAATGATAAATAACATCATATACCAATTTAAAAGGAATTCATTTTACTAACACATTAATCAGAATGATATTTTTTTCAAAAAGCTAATAATCAAAAAACTACTAAACATACAAACATTGAAAAAGAAAAGCATTACAGATGATGATTTAGACAATAACTAACAAGTGATGGGGAATGACAGATTATCTTTCCCATGTTATATTAATTACCTAATTCTCGAGCCTTGGCGAGAGAATTACATAATTTATAAAACGAGGGAAAGATAATCTGCGATTCCCAGTCACGAGTTGGTTATTGTTTTTATTACCCATATCAGTATTCCATCTAGAAAACCCTAGGAAACACTTGATGTGGGCAATCCCCTATCCCTACGCGTGCGATTGGCTGTTCTTTTCTGAAACAACCAATTAATGTTAACCAAAAGGTGTAACCTCCCCAGGTACTTACAGGAATAATACTACCCTGTGTCCCCCTTCCAATATGGGTAATATACTAATAACTGAAACTATTATGCTATCATTATTATACTACGATTTTGTTTAGCGCCAATGTCCAGCTCAAAAGCGCTTTGTTTTTCACTTTATGTCAACCTCAAACGGTACATCATATTTTTCAATCTCACCTCCCTGGGGATCATACAATTCATGCAGCCACTAGGCGCATCGAGTAAATGTGGCTTTCCCATACTTACGAGGGAACTGCTTCTCCCCAAGTCAGTGCATTTTGTTTCATTCAGTACTATTCCAGCTCTATGATGGCAATAATAATGTAATTTTTCAAGTAAAATTGATATTTTTATACTTATCCTGACTCATGATCTTTTGCTTATCTCCCTGTAATTTAAATATTCCAGTCTGAACCAGACAATCAAGTGATTGACGTCATAAGCATCAACCTAGGCAACTGGGATACGGTGACACACATCAACCAACCCAGCAAGCAGGACCTCCCAATCCCATTAATCACCACTTACAAGCATGGGTTGCTGACACCAGTCAGTAAAGTAGATGAGACATTATTGATGTACCGATTGTCCCATGTTGTACTGAACAGGATTAGGTGAAATGAAAGACATACAACCAAACAAAGTCCTAATTAGCTCATCACCTAGTTACCATGGTTACAAAGTAATCATTCAATTTCCTGCACATTGATCATATTGATTACTGGCTTCCACTTTCTACCAACATTAGTGATTCTTTTTCTTTTGTATTGGAGCTGTGTATGGGCACATAAATTGTAATTTGTACCATGTGTATTGCTTTAAATTGTAATTCAGGTACCTGTAATTATAAGGTATTGTGATACACCGGGAGCTAGTGTTTGACAGTCAGCGATATTCATCATGCATGCAGATCCTATCTTCTACATATCAACCGCTGTCATATTGCTGGAATATTGCTAAAAGCGGCGTAAAACTAAACTCAGTCAGTCAGTCTACATATCAAGGCCCTAAAAAATATGTTATCGTTCTGATAATAGCAATCTCAAAGTCAAACTAAGGTTGGACAATTAGAGATTCTTTTCTTCTTTTTTGTGCTATTGATAATATGTAAAGTATGCCATTTCATCAATTAATTACATCAGTTGTGAATGACTATTAGGGCTGCAACGAATACACTATGTGGCGAATATGATACGTATCATGAATATTGGGTAACGAATACGAATAATTATTCACGAATACAATATTGTAGTTAAGTGATTGATGTACAATATGGACCGCCCATGTTGACAGTTTTGATTTGTCACAGCAATAACCAGTGATCTCAAGACACTCAAATTTGGTATGCAATAGTTATAGTCGACAGTACCATGTGTGGCCTTGGCAAACTAACATGACTTGCGCTACTGCAATGCTAGTACATGTTCAATCCTTGCATATCTCACTTTCCAAAAGTACACAAGGGTTCAAGTAAAGCATGCTCCCTTAAAAATTTTTTTGGTAAATATTCGTTAATATTCGGTTCTGGTGACCACGAATATCAAATTGAATTCATGAAGTGCTACGGTTCGATTCACCGAATATGCGACTGAATCGTTACAGTCTTAAAGACTATGTAAACTAAACCAGAGAGATAATCACAAAATATGTCATATCTTGTTATCCAATACACAAGTTCTCAGAAAACATATTGCAATATGTATTGTTTGAAAAGTTCATTGCTGTGTACCAGTAATACTGAGTGGTCCTACTGTGTATCTTTCAGCTCCATATCAACTGATGGTGCCTCAAGTGACACCTTATTTCTTTACCTTAGTTTGAGTGCTGATTCTGTGTATATACCTGTAATATCAGTTTTTAAACTGATTCAGATTTCCATACATCATTTTTCACTCCCATCTTTCATCTGCTGTCTAGACTAGACATGGCAGCATGATAACAGTGTTATAACTAGTTTCGCTGTCTAGACTAGACATGGCAGCATGATAACAGTGTTATAACTAGACATGGCAGCATAACAGTGTTATAACTAGACATGGCAGCATGATAACAGTGTTATAACTAGTTTCGCTGTCTAGACTAGACATGGCAGCATGATAACAGTGTTATAACTAGACATGGCAGCATGATAACAGTGTTATAACTAGTTTTGCTGTCTAGACTAGACATGGCAGCATGATAACAGTGTTATAACTAGACATGGCAGCATGATAACAGTGTTATAACTAGTTTTGCTGTCTAGACTAGACATGGCAGCATGATAACAGTGTTATAACTAGACATGGCAGCATGATAACAGTGTTATAACTAGACATGGCAGCATGATAACAGTGTTATAACTAGACATGGCAGCATGATAACAGTGTTATAACTAGTTTCGCTGTCTAGACTAGACATGGCAGCATGATAACAGTGTTATAACTAGACATGGCAGCATAACAGTGTTATAACTAGACATGGCAGCATAACAGTGTTATAACTAGACATGGCAGCATGATAACAGTGTTATAACTAGTTTCACTGTCTAGACTAGACATGGCACCATGATAACAGTGTTATAACTAGACATGGCAGCATAACAGTGTTATAACTAGACATGGCAGCATAACAGTGTTATAACTAGACATGGCAGCATGATAACAGTGTTATAACTAGTTTCACTGTCTAGACTAGACATGGCACCATGATAACAGTGTTATAACTAGACATGGCAGCATAACAGTGTTATAACTAGACATGGCAGCATGATAACAGTGTTATAACTAGTTTCGCTGTCTAGACTAGACATGGCAGCATGATAACCAGGGTTTGACACTCACTGATTTCTCCCACTTGCCAAGAGGGCAAGTAGAAAAGTGAAACTACTTGCCCATCACAGATACTACTTGCCCCATGTTACTTATGGTATAGAAAGAACTAGACAAACAAAACACAGCAAGTGAAGAGTTTTAATGAATGAATTGAGGTTAGAAGTTGAAAAAATATGTACTTGCCACTCGGGCAAGCCTTTTAGCAATTTTACTTGCCCTGATTAATTAGTACTTGCCACGGGCAAGCGGACAAGCATGAGTGTCGAACCCTGATGATAACAGTGTTATAACTAGACATGGCAGCATAACAGTGTTATAACTAGACATGGCAGCATAACAGTGTTATAACTAGTTTCGCTGTCTAGACTAGACATGGCAGCACGATAACAGTGTTATAACTAGACTTGGCAGCTTGATAACAGTGTTATAACTAGACATGGCAGCTTGATAACAGTGTTATAACTAGTTTCGCTGTCTAGACTAGACATGGCAGCATGATAACAGTGTTATAACTAGACATGGCAGCATAACAGTTATAACTAGACATGGCAGCATGATAACAGTGTTATAACTAGTTTCGCTGTCTAGACTAGACATGGCAGCATGATAACAGTGTTATAACTAGACATGGCAGCATGATAACAGTGTTATAACTAGTTTCGCTGTCTAGACTAGGCATGGCAGCATGATAACAGTGTTATAACTAGACATGGCAGCATAACAGTGTTATAACTAGACATGGCAGCATAACAGTGTTATAACTAGACATGGCAGGATAACAGTGTTATAACTAGACATGGCACCATGATAACAGTGTTATAACTAGTTTCGCTGTCTAGACTAGACATGGCAGCATGATAACAGTGTTATAACTAGACATGGCAGCATAACAGTGTTATAACTAGACATGGCAGCATGATAACAGTGTTATAACTAGTTTTGCTGTCTAGACTAGACATGGCAGCATGATAACAATGTTATAACTAGACATGGCAGCATGATAACAGTGTTATAACTAGTTTCGCTGTCTAGACTAGACATGGCAGCACGATAACAGTGTTATAACTAGACATGGCAGCATGATAACAGTGTTATAACTAGACATGGCAGCATGATAACAGTGTTATAACTAGTTTTGCTGTCTAGACTAGACATGGCAGCATGATAACAGTGTTATAACTAGACATGGCAGCATAACAGTGTTATAACTAGACATGGCAGCATGATAACAGTGTTATAACTAGTTTCGCTGACTAGACATGGCAGCATGACAACAGTGTTATAACTAGACATGGCAGCATAACAGTGTTATAACTAGTTTCACTGTCTAGACCATACATGGCAGCATGATAACAGTGTTATAACTAGACATGGCAGCATAACAGTGTTATAACTAGACATGGCAGCATGATAACAGTGTTATAACTAGTTTCACTGTCTAGACTAGACATGGCAGCATGATAACAGTGTTATAACTAGTTTCGCTGTCTAGACTAGACGTGGCAGCATGATAACAGTGTTATAACTAGTTTCGCTGTCTAGACTAGACATGGCAGCATGATAACAGTGTTATAACTAGACATGGCAGCATAACAGTGTTATAACTAGACATGGCAGCATGATAACAGTGTTATAACTAGTTTCACTGTCTAGACTAGACATGGCAGCATGATAACAGTGTTATAACTAGACATGGCAGCATGATAACAGTGTTATAACTAGACATGGCAGCATGATAACAGTGTTATAACTAGTTTCGTTGTCTAGACTAGACATGGCAGCATGATAACAGTGTTATAACTAGACATGGCAGCATAACAGTGTTATAACTAGACATGGCAGCATGATAACAGTGTTATAACTAGTTTCGCTGTCTAGACTAGACGTGGCAGCATGATAACAGTGTTATAACTATGATTACACAATGCCATTTAGAAAGTAGTCAAATGTAACATATGTTATATT